AGTCTTCTTCTTCTAAATTGCTTCCTGGGACACGGATGTTCGCTTGTATTGGGAATTAGTTCTATTTCAGTCCATTAAAACAAACATTATCTTATTTAGTTCTATACCTGTTGACCGCATCCGCCCCCAATTACGCTCACAAGCCAAGAATTAAATGTTTGACTGCAAAATACGTTAGGCGGTTGAATGGGCGAATATATACTTAAATGACCCTACGAATCAATTTTGCCTATCGTTCTTCGTGGAATGTGATTTGGATGCATTACAGTTGCTGGTCTGAGGGTTTGCTTGCAACAGTGAATAACAACGCTGTTGAAATCACAGATTCGCTGATGCAATTTGGTATAGTAAGGAACTTTATTAGTATTTCTAGCCAAAGAGTACTACCATAGATAGTACACATTTATCAGTCAAATGCCCTGTCGGTATTCTTTCGCCATTTATGCACTTTTTACTCCGTAGAAAGTTAAGTTACTGATCTGCGTTACCCCGAGGAGTAATAATCGTCAGTCTTTCATGTCTGATTGGAATTCCTGGTCTGTGTGAACAATAAAAATGACCCCTTTATCAAAAGACGAAGTCGTTCCTTTCGTTGATAGCCCGGATTTGATCAGTAGAATGATTTCTAAATTTTCACAATTTCATTGTATACCCAAACTGTGTACTTCTGTGGAAGTACGAAGAGATCCTTTGAGAAAAAAAGCGTCGTCCGTAGTTTAAAACTACACCTCAAAGGCTGTATGGTGAGTAAGTGTTCTTCTTGTTATATTTAGAAGCCACAGCGCTGGTGCATCCGTGTTTTATAGCAATCTTACACTGTTATATTTGGGTCCACATTTATTTTAGCTGTTTGCTCATAGATTAATTTGGAGCAAGCTGTATACCTTACTATTACGTTTTTTAATATTATTCAAAAATTATTATAGTAAGATTTGCTGTTTTCCCTGCCTCATTTGCTAACTTCGCGCCTCTTTCAATTTCAGGCAAACAAATACAAATGCACTTACTTGATATCAAAGGAAACCAAACAAAAGTGTGGCCATAAAAACGTAGATCGTGGGTAATAGTAACTCAGCTTGTAGCCTAGCGATAAACTATTCTCCTTTTACGACGCACAAGATGAAAGTTTTTATTTTCCAATGGTTGGATTGAAAGACGTAAGTCAAATAATACTTTTTTTCTGTTCTCAGACAATATGAAGGAAACGAAGGCTCAAAAAATCATAAATTTACTCGGTACCCTTGAAATTTTACTAACAGCTGTCAAATTAAATAAGTATTTGTATAAAACGTGCATTTTGAGAATTGCGATTACGATAATTTTTG